GTGAATTTTCTGGTTATGATATTATAGATATGCAAAATTTTATGGAGAATAGTGGGTGAAGGATATACGAGATCTCATATTTCTGACAACTGCATATAAATCTACAGTTATCTCAAAATAAAGGGGTTTGTTGTTTTGTTTTGTTTTTAAGAGAAAAAAAGGCTTAAACTCTTAAGTTGTACCCTAAGAGATTTGTGAGACTATGGTCGATATGCCATAATAGAGTTTGCCGCTATCCTGGAATGTGGGAATTGAGCCCCTTAGAGTGCTCTTAACTCTGGCTTTGAGGGATTTTTTTTGAGCCAGTACCCACCCTTAGTCAACACTGTGTGTGAAATACTGTGTTGGTATCTTTTTCTGGGGAGCTAGTCTGTAGGGGCTCATGACCCCAAACCAGATTAAGAACCTATAACTCGGTGCTCTTGCTTTAAATAATAAATAATTTGAAAAATGAAAAAAATGGAGTGGTTTTATACAAAATTAATGAACTTACTGGATTTGTGATTCCAAAAGGATTTACCAACAGAAAAGATACAGGGCAAAGAACTATAAATTTGGGAATGATGAAGTTATATGAGTCGTTAAGGGAAGTTAGGGGGTGTTAATGGTACATTTCTTTAATTTGGTAAATGTTTATAGATGCCTGTTGTCTAGTAGACACTGTACTATAAATTGCAGTTAGTTTAATAATGGCAAGGGTCCAGAAATTGTTCATAGCAGGGGAAGGTGTGCTGTCGTTAGATGTATGAACCAAATACATTGATAGTCTGGAGGAGGGCATGACACCTGACCTTTTGGAGCAGATATCCTATGAATCTTGCCCTCCTAGAAGCACTATCTCTGGATGTCTTAGTCAGAAAATCTTGCTTGTCTTGCTCCTTATCACATGTTCAGTTAATGGAATGTACATGGTAGCCATTTTTAGTTAAGCCAGTCCAGTTGATAAAATCTGTATATAATTTTTTTCAAACTTCTCTTGTATTAACAGTTTTGTGTTCCTTAAATCTTTCATCCATTAAAAAAAATCCTTTTTAAAAGTAAGAAGGAAGGCTAAATGAGGTTTAATGACTTGCCCAAGGTCACACAGCAAGCATGTAGCAGAGCTGGGAGTCAAACCCAGTTCTGTTTAGCTTCAAAACTCAGGTTCTTTCCTCTCAGTCATACATTTAAGAAACAGTTCTCATCCTTTGGAGCTAACAGTCTGGTTGTGATAACACCTACCAAAAAAAGGAAAGATTAAGTTATAGTAAAAGAGTAGAAGAAAAGCCACGAGATTTGTTGAATTTGCTCTGACTGACATAAGGAATAACCTGGGTTTAAATAGCTGCTCTGTCACTAATTTTGTGATCTTGGACAAGATTTCTTCACTAGTTAAGTGGGGATAATCCTGGTTATAAAGACAAAGGGAAACAATAAATACAAAATTCCTGACACATAAAAGGCACTCGGTAAGATATGATTATTGTCAGCATCTAACTTTGAAGCAAATGGTTCACCTCTCTGTGTGTTGTTTACACCTTAGCGTTTCTTTCTTTGACTCTTGGGATACCCAGGGTCTCCAGAGGCCCAAGCAAAGATCTTTTAAAGGAGTCAGTTTCAGGGCTTCCCTGGTGGCGCAGTGGTTGAGAATCTGCCTGCTAATGCAGGGGACACGGGTTCGAGCCCTGGTCTGGGAAGATCCCACATGCCGCGGAGCAACTAGGCCCGTGAGCCACAACTACTGAGCCTGCACGTCTGGAGCCTGTGCTCCGCAACAAGAGAGGCCGCGATAGTGAGAGGCCTGTGCACCACGATGAAGAGTGGCCCCCACTTGCCACAACCAGAGAAAGCCCTCGCACAGAAACGAAGACCCAACACAGCCGAAAGTAAACAAATTAAAAAAAAAAGTAAAGGAGTCGATTTTAGAAGATTGTCTAGAAAGTACTTTTGCCTGAGGGTGAGGCATTTTTAGGAAGCTTCTCTTTGATTTTATTTTCTTCCCATTACAGCCTGCTCCTTTGCCCTCCACAAGAAGTGAGGCCAAGAAGAGAAATTGAAAAAGAAAAACGGAGAAAAAAAAAAGAATTGAAAAAGAAAAGAAAGATCAGGCAGCTGAACATCTGAGGCACACGCAGAGCCCTCTTGTTGTCTTTAGCTGCATGACAGTGTCTGGGGGTATAAGCAGTACTTCCCAAAACTTCACAGAATCAGCTCTTTTTTGCTTAAAGTGCCCCCCACAACTCCTCACTGAAAGGCAATAATAAAAGCATGAGGTTTGAAGTTAGAGAAAGCCTGGGTTTTAATCCTTACTCTCTTACTACTTTAACAGCTTTGTGACTTAGAGATTTAACTTCTCTGATTTTGTTTCCTCAGTTATAAAATGGGGATAGTACCAGCTACTTCACTGAGTTACTTTTTAGGATAAATGAGGTAATATGTGTATAGAGTATGATACATTGTAGGCATTTAATAAATATTTGGTCCTTCCCCTTCCAAACATGGAAGACCACCCTTCTTGAAGGCTCAAGTTGCTGCTGCTTCTTTTGCTTTCTAGGCTAACCCCCTGATTGTTTTATCTTTTCAGTTCTGTTTTACTTAAATCATTGTTCTCTGAATTCTCTGAAAATGCTTTAACGTTATTTTTTAAATTGTGAGGTAAGTGGACAAGGGGATCCTAATTAAAGATCTGCCTAGTTCAAAATATAGCAGAAGGATCCATGTTATAGAAAGGTCTTAAATTCACGGGGCACATTACATTGATATTAAACAAACCTTTCTACTGGGTTCAATTTTTGCATCCCTGCTTCCTATGGGAGTACAGATTAACAGACTTTGAGTCTTATCTTCTTGTTCTAACCAATTAAAGTTTCTGGAAAGTGGTATAAAGTACAGCTGAAGGGCCTAACTAGATGGCAGCAATTAGGACACACGGAGAGACATAGTTAAGATGAATGAAGCATGTAATTTGTTCCACATATTTAGAAGCTCCTCAGTGATGTTTTCAGATTAGAAATGTGGCATCTTTGTTCCTGTGGACTTTGGAAGATTGAGTGCCCAGTTTCCCAGCCCAGAAACTCAAGAGGTGTGTTCAGAGGTGGTAGGCTCAAAACTAGAGACTACAAAAAGTTAATATTAGCAGTAAGTGGGAAGGGGTGGGGTCAGGATACACTACCAGTGAAACAGTAAACAAATAGGTGTTGAATGAAGAAGCATTTAGTCTGTTGATTGTAAGGTTAAATTTGTTTTCTATTCCAAGCAATGAAAAATAGGAGTGCAAAGAGCACTGTCATTTACCGTTCTTATAAGAGTGTAACATCTGAAATTAGGCTTTTTAATAAACAGAAGCCTTCAGTTTGAAATTCTGAACTCTGTAGTCTGTCAGTGTCAGTAACTTTCCTTCATCCGTGTACTTTACAGCTGGACTTAGTCTAAACAGTTATTTTTTTTTAATTGTTAAAGGTTTAGATTTGCAGTATGTGTTTGAAGTCGTATGTCTTTATACAGAACTGGTAGTTTTCAAAGTGTGATCCCTAGAGCAGCAATATCAGCATCACCTGCTAACTTGTTACAAATGCAAACTCCTAACACAATCCCAGACTGGGATTGGAGCCCAGCAGTCTAGTTTTACAAACCCTCCAGGTGATTCAATGAAGTTTGAGAACACTTGCCTTAAAATTATAGAAGAAACACTGGAAATGTTATATAAGGAGAACATTCTGTGTTAGTTAGAATGTTCCACTAATTTTAGGGAGTATAATTTTTTTGGTTGTTGTTGTTCTCAGTGGACCATAGTATATAACCTTTTAGTTGCTGCTCTTCATTGCCTCCATACTCGGCCCCCATCTCTGTTAGTACTCCTGTTGTAGCATTTAACTATACTTCATTGCTGACTTCATAGACTGGGAACTCTAGTATATAAACATAGTGGAGATTGGGACCATGTTTGACTTGTTCTGTTGTTTCTCATATACTTTACAGGACAAGGTGCCTGGCTCTTAGTAAGTCTTCCATAGTGGTTAGTGATCATACCTGTATCTGTCCCTTCATGTGCCTCTCCATAGGAAGCACTCAAACACTTGCAGTCACTGAATGAATGGATGGATGGGTGAATGAAGTTCCCTAATGATAGAAAATCTTTTTGGTTGCTAAGGTTCTAGCTGATGAAACTGTCTTAACCCATGAATTGAAATTATCTTGGTGCATTTTTTCCTTTAGGACACTGAGTGAATTTGGGCTAGATAGTGTTCAGTATATATTAAAACACTTCCTGAGGAATGGGCTTTTGGGACTTCCCTGGCGATCCCATGGTTAAGACTCCACACTTCCACTGCAGGGGGCTCGGATTTGATTGCTGGTCGGGGAACTAAGATCCCACCTGCCAAAAGGAAAAAAAAAAACAAAGAAAGAAATGGGCTTTAATTAGCATGTTTACATATGTTATTTTATTCTGTCTTTATAGTAACCTCATGAGGTAGATATTGCCTCCATTTTACAATGAGGAAACCAAAATTCAGAGCAATTAAAAAATTTTTCAGAGCTCGCACAACTGGTGAGTGGCAGAGTAAAAACCAGATCTTTCAGACTCTTAAGGATTACTACTATCCAAAGCACTACTGTTACAGAATTTTAATGGGACTCTCCGTTGTGTATTTAAATTATTGACTTTGTCTCTTCATTAAGATATGACTTTGTACTTTTTTCTTGATGCAGATTTTAATATTTTTAGTTCGTTTATCCCCTTTTCCCCAATTCACTGCTAAATCCATTTTGTGTTAAGAACATTTGAATGTCTCTGTAGAGGTTTCCACTAGAAGTGGAAGAGCAGACTGCTCTTATTAGAAGCAGGCTTTGGGTTTCCTAGTTAGCTTCATCTAGCTTTGGTGCTTTCACCCAGTCTCCATTTGAAATTAGCACTTTCTCATTACACAGTACTCTGTGTTATTGCTTTAAGCTGAGCAGACTCAGAATTTTGCCTTTATTTAAAAGAAAAAACTAAATGAAATTCTGTTTGTCCTATTCAGAAATTGAGAAGATTCAGAAAGGGGATTCAAAAAAGGACGATGAGGAGAATTACTTGGATTTATTTTCTCACAAGAACATGAAGCTGAAGGAGAGGGTTCTGATACCTGTCAAGCAGTATCCCAAGGTAAGGGAAAGAGTGCCTCACTTTGAGTTGTCTTTGTAGTATGAGAGTATGTAGTATGTCTTGTAGCGTGGGCTGTAGCAGAAGACTTACAGAGATTGTGATGTGTCAGAAACTTAAGCTGGTGAAGGTTCTGTCCCATATATGTATCTGGCAGTTGAAACATGCAAGTCCGTCCCTAATAGCATAGCTATAGCCAGGACGGAAATATAATCATCTTTTTATTATCAAAAAAAAAAAAAGAATTTTTTTCTCAAGGTTTTTTTTTTTGGAAAGCAACTAGTTATATTTAGTTTATCAAACCAGTACTACCAGAGGGTACCATATGTCTGTTCTGTTCTGAAGTAACTGGCTTTAAAATATTTATGTAAAAGTATGAGGGGTTGCAGTGTGATATTATGGAAAGAGTGCCAAACTACATCAGGAAATTCAAGTCTAAGAACTGCCACTTTCCAGTTGTATAACCGTAGGCTAATCACTTTATCCGTACAGCCTCAGTATAATACTTCAGTAAAAAGGGAGTGGTAATACTCTACCTATTTTACAGGATTATTGAAGATAAATAATACGTGTGAAAATATTTTATAGGAACATATGTGTTTAGAAATCTGTCTTTATTTTCTGTCAGTTCAATTTTGTGGGGAAGATCCTTGGACCACAAGGGAATACAATCAAAAGACTGCAAGAAGAGACTGGTGCAAAGATTTCTGTGTTGGGAAAGGGCTCAATGAGAGACAAGGCCAAGGTAAGCTCACATTAATGAGGCAAGAAAACACCCTAATGCTTTCCAGTAGCCCAGAGTCCAGTATAGATTCCTTATGGAAGTTAGCACTTGCGTATGTACAGAATGTGATTCCCTTAAATTTGCATTGGATATAAGAGATTATAGACCAGTTAATTCACTTCTTTGGCAACGCTGGAAGAACCTAGGTGTGCCCTGGTAATTGTTTTCTTTCTGACTTTGACTGCATAGTAATGGAAACAGCAGTAGCAACTTTGGCATTAGTAAGCTTATCTATGAAAACTTGGAAGGGGAGCTGGATGTACTGAAACTTACTGGGACTAAAGACACTAAAATGTGAGCAGCACATTCCCTTTTCAGTAATGTGGAAAAGTGAGAGCACTAGTCTTGTGAGTGCAGGTGAGTCTGAGGATTAGTTGGCTGGTTTGTTTTATAGCCAGCTGGAATGTGAGGCTTTCTAAAAGAAGATATTACAAAAGGAACCATGAGTAATCCTAACAACAGAACCTAATGCTTATTTTTTTTTTCCATGCCATAGCCCCATACTCTTTATGCTCTTTGTAAGTATGGAGAAACTTACCACCGAAACAGAATAGTCTTAGCCTTCTAGGGCATCTTACTGTTGTGGCCTCTCCCGTTGCGGAGCACAGGCTCTGGACACGCAGGCTTAGCGGCCATGGCTCACGGGCCAAGCCGCTCCGCGGCATGTGGGATCTGCCCGGACCGGGGCATGAACCCATGTCCCCTGCATCGGCAGGCGGACTGTCAACCACTGCGCCACCAGGGAAGCCCCAGGCCTCCTTTTATGCAGCCTAATAGACAAACATGTTTTCTCAGACCCTCTTTTGTCCACTCACATTTCTCACTAGATGAATACAGTTAGGGCTGAGGTATGTTATTCTAGCTAATGAGATTTACATGAGATTTTCTTCTCTCTGTCCTGACTTTTTTCCTTCCCTAGAACTTCCCAGACCATATAAGCAGATAAGAAGAGCTGGTAATTAAGAGCTCTACCAGGGATTTAAAAGCAAATGCTTGGCAATAAATGAGTGAATGGATGAATGCTTGGCAAACAGCTGTTATCTGAATGGAAACTGGAAATAAGTTTGTCTCTTGTATACCTTCTAATAAGAGCTCCAGTGAATACACCAGTGATTCAAAACAGAAGAGCAGCAGACTAATTGCAGGTTTAGCAGACTGTGTAAATTACTATTCTCCAGAGTTTGTTTTGCTTTTTTCTTACACTTTTCTATTTTTTTAGGTGTTGGGGTCATTTCTCAATGTCTCTTTGGCCTAGAGGTAAAGGTGTCATTTTCTCCCTAGTCCAAGTGATGCGATGTTTTTGTGCATCTTTCCACAGGAGGAAGAGCTGCGCAAAGGTGGAGACCCCAAATATGCCCACTTGAATATGGATCTGCATGTCTTCATTGAAGTTTTTGGACCCCCGTGTGAGGCTTATGCTCTTATGGCCCATGCTATGGAGGAAGTCAAGAAGTTTCTAGTACCAGTAAGGAAATCTATATCCTGTATCTTTTGAGCAAGAGAAAACTGGGATCTTGTGCTTATTGCTAAGGCAGGGTTTCTTAGCCAAGGTGTCTGCATAACCTGAAATTATATACCAAATTCTTCATTTATGTTCATTTTTCTGAGGTGGTCCATTATTTGTATCTGGTTTTCAAACCACTGTGCCCCAAGGCCACTCTCCCACTCCATGTCTAATGTGGTTTTAGTTGTATACTAGTATCTTGTCAATAATTTGGATCCACAGTGTGTCTGGCATTTTAACATCTGGTTAACAGAGATTTGACTAAGGTGGTCATAATCCCCTGCACTTAGGGGGGTTTTATTCTAGACTCTAGAGAGTCTAGATGATAACAGCAAGAAGCCTCTAGCCTCCAGTGTTAATGGATTGAATTCCGACCTGAGTGCATTCAGGGCTTTCTCTCCTGGAGGAGTTTACTCAAGTAGAGATGATTTGAAAGAGACATGATGATTGTAGGCTTAACTGTTGATAATATTAAACAGATTGGTGTACAGCTCCTTTCAGAATGTAACTAAGGCCTTGGAAGAATTGGAACAGACCAGGTTACCTGTCTTGCTTATTATTACCTGGTCAGAGATTTCATTCTTTGAGTAAGTAGAAAATGATGAATTTTTGCCATTTGGCAAGAACTGTTAGTTTTCAGAGTTACTCTGAAAACTACTTACTGTTGAATATTTAATAACCAAGTATGAATCTGGAACCTTAAGAAGCATTTGGAGTACTATTCAGCTAGAATTGAGTAAGCATCATAGCTTCATCACTAAGAGGAGGTGATATATAGTTCCTGGTTTTCTTGTATATGTAAAATGAGGGAGTTGGAACTGTATCAGCATGTGAGAATTGGTAGAGCAAAAATTTATAGGGCATGTGTACCTGTAATGCTGAGCTCCAAGGATTCCAACACTGTCTTAAATGTCTCAGCAGCTGCTTTGCTTCTAAGTATCTCATCATCATTAGAGTGTTCAACATGAAACAGCCAATTTAAAATATCCTAGGAAAAACTCAGAGCTCGTAAATTTTCCCTTGAGGATATGCTTTTTACTCTTTGAGGTATATGTTGAAGCATCCTGAGCCATCCGTTTTCTGAAGGACTACAGGAGAATGCCCATCTCCTCTTTATCATTAGTCTCAGCATACTTCTCAAAAGGGCTAGGCTTATAAGGCTTCCATGTAAGTGGATCTTCAAAAGAGAAGCCTGCCAGGGAGATCTGGGTTTCCTCAGTGTTGCTGTGGCAGTTAGAGTAATATGAGCAAATGGCCCATCATTGGTCCCTTGATTCTCCAACGTGAATCTCAACCAGCAGAAATGTGTACGGTAAGAGGAGGTGAAGAGTTGGTGGAGGGGGGCATCTCTGTGGTGACTAGAATCTTCTAAAAGCTGTATACACCTGGAATATATAAAAATGCATGAAGTTAAGACTGAATGATTCTCTTCAGGAAATATGTGAAAAGATTTGCAAATGGCATTTGGCTCAGTTCTTCCCCCCTGTGAAGAAAAAAAGTGAGCCCGTTTTTGCGTCCATGACCAGAGCCCTCCGTTTTCCCCTTAGAACCTGGTACAGTAGGAAGAGCACTGGACTGGGAGCTTTATCTGCATCATCTTGGACAAGTTATTATGTCACTTTTCTGAGCTTCAGGTTCCTTGTTCATCCCAAACATTTGTTAAGTATCTGGTAGGTGCCTAATACTATGCTTGGGTCTGAAGTTACAAAAATGGCTCTTGAAGAGCTCACAACCTAGTGAGAAAGACATACAAACAATTCTAAAGTGATGTGGTAAGTGCTTAGAGAAAATTACATGGTGCTGTGGGAAAAGAGGAGGGAGTGAAGGGTTGGCATCAAGAGAAAGTTTTTCAAAAGAGGTGAGGTAATATTTTAGATTAAATCTTGTGAGAGTTAGAGTCCCTCAGGTGGACAAAAAAAGGCAATAACATAGTCTGATGATTCAAAGCCTAGATTCTGGAGACAGGTAATTCTGAATTTACATGTAGAATCTGCCACTTACTAGCTCTGTGTCCTTAGACTGATTGCTTTATACTTCCCGAATCTGTTTTCCCAAATGTAAAATGGGAAGATCTGCCTATTTCAGGGTTAATTTGAAGATTAAACTGAAAACCCTATATAAAGTTTATTATATGGTACCCAGCCATAGAACTTAATTAATGGTAGTGGTTTTTATTATTCCAGAAAGAGGAAACTATTTGCTAGAATGGATGTTTACGAGTATGCCATGTTCTGAACTGCAAGTTGTTCAGCATGGCTTGAAAGGAGGTTATACATGGAGAGAGGATGGAAGTGATCTGGAGAGCTAGGCAGGGACCACATCATGAAGAACTTCATCTGAATAATGAGGGGTCTACCATCAAGACTTTCCTCAAAGAGGTGACAGGTGGAGTGCCATTTGACTTCAGAGAATGAATGACCTGAGACTTCATCTGGGCTTTCAAAGTTGTTCTTAGCATCCAAGGCCCGTATGGGCTAGGTGACTTCTCAGCAGAAGGTAGAGAATAACACTCCTTCCCATTATCTTTTATCCACAGGATATGATGGATGATATCTGCCAGGAGCAGTTCCTAGAGCTCTCCTACTTGAATGGAGTACCAGAGCCCTCTCGCGGACGTGGGGTGCCGGTGAGAGGCCGGGGAGCTGCACCTCCTCCTCCACCTGTTCCCAGGTATAAATAATGGAGACAACTAGAAATGGGATGTGAATTTGACTGCTGGTACCATCTCTGTTTTACTGGTGCTCTTATCTCCAGCTTAGAAAGGGTCTCAGGATTTGTATGTTGCATCAAGAGTGGAGTTCTAGGGAGTTCCCTGGTGGTCTAGTGGTTAGGATTTGGCGCTTTCACTGCTGTGATCCAGGTTCAATACTTGGTCGGGACACTGAGATCCTGCAAGCTGCATGGCACGGCCAAAAAAAAAAAAAAAGTGGAGTTCTAGATCTTCGTCACTTTGACTATAATCAGGTACAACAGTCTTGAAGCTTTAGGACTTCAGGACTAAAGCTTTTAAAAAAAGCTTTTTTAACTTTTGGACAGTTTTAGCATTTTTAAATGGTCTTTGACTTTAGAATTTTACCTTTGCTGATTGACCTTTATGGACTGTTCAGACTCTCCAAGGCAGACGCTCCACTAATGAGATATTAACAGGTCCACCATGGGACCTGGGGAGCCTTACAATATGGGTCCTTTACCCACCTACACATTCCTCTGTGTTGTTTTGTTTTGGCTGCGCTGAGTGGCTTGTGGGATCTTAGTTCCCTGACCAGGGATTGAACCCTTGCCACGGCAGTGAAATCGCCAAGTACTAACCACTGGACTGCCAGGGAACTCCCCATTCCTCTGTGTTTTGATAATAGTCTATTTAAGGCATCGTAAAATCTGTCTAGCTCCAGAATTTGCAAACAAATCTGAACATGGAAGTAGCCTATTTATAAAAATCTCCATTTAAAATAAACTTTCTTTTTTGCAGGGGCCGAGGTGTTGGACCACCTCGGGGGGCTTTAGTGCGTGGTACACCAGTGAGAGGAGCCATCACCAGAGGTGCCACTGTGACTCGAGGAGTGCCACCCCCACCTACTGTGAGGGGTGCTCCAGCACCAAGAGCACGGACAGCAGGCATCCAGAGAATACCTTTGCCTCCACCACCTGCACCAGAAACTTATGAAGAATATGTAAGACATTCGGACAATGCCATTTCCTAATACCTAACAGGTTGCCAAAGGAAGTTGAATGACAGGGCCTTGGCCCTTGATGTAGATGGCAGGGACTGCCTGTAAGATTTGGAATCTGCCCTCTTCTCTTGCAGTGAATGTTAAACTATGAGAAGAGTTTTCCATTTTTAAGCATGGTTTACTGTATGTATGTAGATTAAACAGGAAATAAGTTGTCCCTTGATGTTTAGTGTGTTACTAAAGGAACTCAACACTACTACTGCTGATGATGCTGAAGTTCAAAAGAAACATTGTTTCTTTTTTTTTTTCTTTAGTCCTTTCTTTTCTTGACTATTCCACAACAGGTGTTAACATTTTGGAGGGAAATTCCATGTTCTCTTAATCCAGAAGCCCGCCATACTCCCATGGGATATAATTACCTTACCTACTTTCCGTGATTCTGACTTTCTATTTCATTTTATTTGTTCTAGGGATATGATGATACATATGCAGAACAGAGTTATGAAGGCTACGAAGGCTATTACAGCCAAAGCCAAGGGTGAGTCAGGCAGTAGAAGTGCTGTTTCACGTCCTCGGGATGGATAAGAGGGAGTTGGAGGAACTGAGAGATTTAGGCAGCACAAATCTAAGGAGCAGGGTGGCTCACCTCTCTTGAGGGTGTCTTGTCTGCTTTTGACATCTATAAGGCACACACTTGGATCTGCAAATTTGGATAACTGTGAATCTTAAATTATAGTGTAGAATCTGGGGTTAGCAGATGAAAAATTCCTGAGCTGTGACTACATGGAAACAAAGGGAAGAGGCCTTAAAATTATTTTGATTTATTATTACAAAATGTCACAGCCACATTAAAGTTGCATAAAAGTTTAAAAGGATACTAGAATCCCACTGTTGTAAGTCAGGTTCTTTTCTGCTCTTTTTTTAAAAAACATTTTTAGTGTATGTGTATATATATATATCTTAACTGTGATTGAAAAGGTCTCATAATTCTACAATGAGGACAGAACAGTTCTTTTCATGTTTCTTTAATCTCTCCCAGTTAGCCCTGTGAATACACGTGTATGTACACTGTGGTTAAGATGGAGCTTTTGGATTGAGCTTTTTCACTTTAAATTGTTGCTATTCGTTTTTCTTTGCTATGGTTGTCACAGTTTTTAAATGAGGACCTAGTGTGTACATGCTTTGGAAATATTTTGTGGTTTGGAGATGGGGTAAAATGAGCATCTTTTTGTTTTATACCCACAAAAAAATGACTGAAATATGGAAGTATTGGGGAGAAAGGTAAAACTGAAACATGGTTACTACATAGCTCTAACACTCTGTCTTTGGCTTTCAGGGACTCAGAATATTATGACTATGGACATGGGGAGGTTCAAGATTCTTATGAAGCATATGGTATGTATTTATTTCTGTGTTGGGACAAAATGTGCAAGTAAGTGCCCTGGAGAATGCTGGTGACCGGATTATTGGGGGTCAGTCATGCATCTAAGGAGAAACCTCTAACAGAAGGCCAATATGTTGATAGATGTGGCAATAGGAGTCCTGCTCTTAAATTGTGTGGTGTGCGGTAGAAAGAAGGACTTACTGAAATGAGATAGGTGTGCTATTACTCTTGGACGGCTAAGCAGGTGTCCTAAACTAGGGCTCAGGTCTAGGTTGGCCTGGTTGGAGCAGCAGGCTTTTCAGCTGATGTTGATTCTTTTTGGACTTTAGGCTGGGAGATGGCTAGGCCTGGGTTATGTTGCTGGGCCTTTGCTGCTGATACCTAGGCCACGGCGGTGGATAATAAGAATTTAATCATATCCAATTCTTCTGCCCCACCTCATTTTTAAAAACAATTTTGGATCTCATCATGAAGAATCTCAGTGTAGAGGAAATGCTAGCTGAAAGAAACCTAAACGGCAAGAGCAGGTTGGGGGCAGGAATAGTGTCCATTAGATTAGAAACTGGGGGCTGAAGCCAATTCAGGGCAGTACTGGCACCAAGCTCCTTACTGTCTTGGAGACATCTCCGTTCAGTCCTATAATCCTAAGAGAGCTATATAGATGCTGGAATGGCAGCAGGACCAAACTGCCTTTCCTGAGGCTTGGTTGAAAACACATTGCTCAAGAGTATCCTCAAGAGCTAGTTATGGCCCTGTATTAATGGGTCCCAGAGGGAGTACCATGTGGCAGTAGATGCAGAGAGAGCAGCCTTTTAAATGTGAGGTGTTTCCAGCATACCCAAGGGAAGTCCAGAGACTTTGGCAAGGGGGTCAGCAGTTGACCTTTTAAGTTACCAGCTGACAGTCTCCCTTACCCCTAACTGAAAAGAGAGAGCCTCTTAGGGTTCCCACAGACACACTCCTCAACTCCTCAGCACAGTATGTAGTAACCAGTCAGCTGCTCGCCCGGGAAACAGTTTTTACCAGTTCTAGCTAAATGGTACTGGACAGTTGCCATCCGTAACACTGCACTGCTCTCTGCTCATATGCCACTATTTAGAAGGGTGGTATGATTGCTCCAGGGTATTTCCCTTCATCGGTGAAGCAGCACAATGGGGCCTCTGTATGTGTTTGACTAAATTACATTTCTGTTTTGCTGGAGAAAAGACTGCACTGAAATAGGCAGGCTGCTCCTTGTTCTCCTGGTATGATGTTGCCACCGTTAATCTGTTCTGATTTCTGCCTTTATAAGCAGAGTTAGAAAAATAAACTGTCTTGTTGGTACCCAGAAGCCACTTGGAAAGTGATGGACATATCTATTTTACTAGAGGTATAAACAGGCTTAGATAGCATAGGGCTTTGTGCAACATCCATAAAGGAGTTTTAGACCTATATTGATGGAAGCAGATGTTTGTGAATGCAAGGAGCTAGAGAAATAACAGGCCTGGGTAACATCTGGGGGTGAGTGGGAAGAATAAGCTTATAAATACAACTCGTGTTCATAAGAGATCAGCTCTAGTAAGTGATCATCTCTCCTATAGGCTTTTCCCTGTCACAAAGGAAAACCATTTGAGGATGTCAGTCATGTTGTCTGGCTTCTCTGGACTATTGGCACAAAAAAGGAGATAATGAATTCTCCTAATGAGTGCTGTTAACACATTTGATTGTACTTCCCACTGCCAGAACAGTGAACCAGCTCTGCTGGTGGAGGGCTCCTAAAACGTGGCCATTGCTTGCTCTTCCCAGGGAGCCAGAGGACATTTCTCCATGGGGAAATCAGACTTGCTGTTGCATGGGAAGGGAGCTACCTGCTGCTTCCAATCTGAAAGACTTCCAGAAATTGTCACCTTACCTGAGGCTCTGTGCCAAATTGCTTTGGAAACAAGAAAGAGCATTGCAGATCCACTGAGGTCGATTTCCTCATTGTCCCAAGCAAGGTGTTGGGTTTATTCAGGTTTGGGGGCTGGAGTATAGATTATGTTGCCTATGGACAGCTTCTTTCCTGGACATCACTCCAAGTTCTTCCTGAACTGTTTCCTCTGTCCACTCAGAACTGTCCTACAGTTGGAAAATTGCCTAAGCTGCTCAGGAGGGCCAAGCAGAGTAAAAAAGTAAGGACCACCCAGGAGGTGGCAAGACATTGGAAGCAAAGCAGTGTTTTTGGTGACCAGGTAACCTACGCCTGCCCATCTAGAAATGCCATTGGCACGTGGGTTATAAAACTGTTCTTGCTTTTTCCCCACAGGCCAAGATGACTGGAATGGGACCAGGCCGTCGCTGAAGGCCCCTCCAGCTAGGCCGGTGAAGGGAGCATACAGAGAGCACCCATATGGACGTTATTAAAAACAAACATGAGGGGAAAATATCAGTTATGAGCAAAGTTGTTACTGATTTCTTGTATCTCCCAGGATTCCTGTTGCTTTACCCACAACAGACAAGTAATTGTCTAAGTGTTTTTCTTCGTGGTCCCCTTCTTCTCCCCCACCTTACTCCATTCTTAACTCTGCATTCTGGCTTCTGTATGTAGTATTTTAAAATGAGTTAAAATAGATTTAGGAATATCGAATTAATTTTTTAAGTGTGTAGATGCTTTTTTTCTTTGTTGTTTAAATATAAACAGAAATGTACCTTTTCTAATAAAACAGAAGTTGAGTAAAAAAAAAAAACCACAAACCTGTTAGTTTCAAAAGTGACATTGCTTGCTTAAAGGTTCTGAAGTTAAGGCTTGTTAACTTTCTCTTAGTTTTGACTTGAGGCATCCCGTAAAGTTGTAGTTGCAGAATCCCAAACTAGGCTACATTTCAAAATTCAGGGCTGTTTAAGATTTAAAATCACAAACGTTAACGGCAGTAGGTGCCACCATGTAAAAGTGAGCTCAGACGTCTCTAAAAATGTTTCCTTTAAAAGCACATGGCGGTTGAATCTTAAGGTTAAATTTTAATATGAAAGATCCTCATGAATTAAATAGTTGATGCAATTTTTAACGTTAATTGACTTAAAAACAACAACAACAAAATTAGGTTCGTAAAACTGACTTTTTCATTATGTGGGTTTTGAAATCTAGCCCCAGACATACAGTGTTGAGAGATACTTAGTGGGAAGTAGGTTTCGAAGAGGTTGATACGGGGAGAGGGGCTGGCCACTTGAATTTGATGCAGAGCTTTTTAGTCACGAACAACCTTTCAGTAATAGTACTAATAATTAACATTTCAGTATTTAAAAAGGCAAAGTATTTTGTCCATCTGAGATTCTACACTCCATGAAAAGCTCACTTGGACACTGGGGCCAAAAGCTGATGATTTTCTTAAGTTGACGGTTGTCAATATTGAACTGTTACCAAGGTAGTTAGTCAAGTATGTCTCAACACTAGCATGATATAAAAAGGGACACTGCAGCTGAATGAAAAAGGAATCAAAATCCACTTTGTACATAAGTTAAAGTCCTAATTGGATTTGTACCGTCCTCCCATTTTGTTCTTGGAAGATTAAATGCTACATGTGTAAGTCTGCCTAAATAGGTAGCTTAAACTTATGTCAAAATGTCTGCAGCAGTTTGTCAATAAAGTTTAGTCCTTTTTTAATCAAAGTAAATGTGATGAATTGTCATTTTTTTGGGTGGACAATAAAATAGTTTTCTCTTTCAAATAAACTTAAATTAACTCTAAAGTTAATGGGCTTGTTAAAAGTTGGAGACATTCTTAAAAGTGGTGGGGGGGTATTTTATTTTAAGTTTACCAAAAAAAAGTTTATGAGTTGTTAAGTTTTAGTTTAAAAATAACCAAAGCTTTTTCACCCCCTGGAAGTTGTTGAAAGCAGTTTTATCCAGTCCTTATCACAAGCTCTAATTTTTGGAGAGAAAAATCCAACTAAGTTGAAACTTGGATTGGTTTCCATACATAGGCCTCAGTACTTAAAGTTCCAGCCATCCTAGTTTGCACCTTCTGTAGAACCTGTAGGTGGCCCTAAGAGTGACACCAAATAATCTCTGTGAACTTGGAGAGGGATAGCACTTGCCTTTAGATAATGACAATTCAGCAAACCCTGGGTGCCCTTAAGGGTTTCCCTTCCAATCCCAGAAATGCTGTTAATAAATCAACTGGGCTGGGGCAGGATGTGGCATGATAGCCTGGCTCTGAACCTCCCTCCTGAGAGACCAAGAGAGGAAATGATGGAATTGGTTGACCCTGTTTCCACTCCTCTACATTAATTCTCAGGGTTCTCATGCCTTCCCTAAGGGAGCCACCTAAACTGCTCGGGGGTGAAAAATCCTCTTGTATGAAGTGCCAAGCTGCCTGCAGCAGTGCATGATGGACATTTTATTTCTTTTTAAAACACACCAACAAAAAAATGTATTTGTAGATTGTGATAAAGTGTAAATAACTGAATTTTCAACCATGGTTTGAAGTCAGCTTTCAGGGCATTATGTCTTGTTTTGATGAAAAGAGATCACTCTATACCCCCCTTTTTAAAGGAAAATTATCGCAAGAGAATCAGGATGTGTAAAGCTAACATGCATCGCAAAAAACCAAAGGTAACCTAAATGTCTGATTTTAATAGCACATATTTCTCTTTTACATAAACTGTGACAGCAACTTGCATAAACAATTCTTTAGCTGTAATTTTAATGTTAAAACTTTGCAAAACTTGTTTAATAAAAATAGCTGTAAAAAGAAAAACCATATGCTGCCGCATAAATTAGCCATAACTCTTAATAATCCTGCCCATCACAAGTGAACTGTAATGTAACCTGGGCACAAAGTCTGACATCTTAAATGACACATTGTAAAATTTCAATGACTGTAGTTTAGACCTGCTGCTCCCCAAAGTAAAGCTTTCTGCTCAGCTATTTTAAAATGTACAAGGATGTGAGCCCCTATAGGTCCCCGTATTGATATTCACAATGAAATGTTAGTTAAAATTTCTTTAAAGTTGCATGTTTCTCTCCTGTAATGTGTAAACTGCATGCAGGATCTCTATCTTTTATTTTGTATGTCTTTAGAACTTCCTCTTTAAAAGACTTATCTCTTACTTCTCCATTTTCAGGTGCTTGAAAACTCCTGAGGCATTTCTTGGAGTAGAATGGGTAGTGAAGACCCATGTCAGGTATGTTAAGGTGGCTTTCTATTAAGGATATTGGACTTTTATCGTAACTAAAACAGTTTTGCCAGGTGGTAGCCTGGGAGGTAATCAATGGGCAAATCTTGCTTGTATGTACTTTGTACCATATTTACAACCTGACCATGCTTTTACGTTGGTTTACAGTCCATATTGAATTTACTTGTAATGACCAGACTGTCAGCTTACATCTTTTGAGTCCCACTGTATTTTGTCAATAACCTGATAAGGTGGTGTTTCATTTGGAGTTCATTGGTTATAAGCAACAAAGTGACTGGCTCATGTAAATGAAAGGGAATTTATTGGAAGGATATTAGGGGTCCGCAGATTTAATGTGAAGGCTAGAAAATCTTGCTTGGGAACCAGAGTGGCTACAGCGAACTGGGACAGCAGTGGTAGACCACAGGAGTGGTTCTAAAGCTGGGATTAGCTCCTTGGACACTATTGCTGGAATAAGTACACTCTTGGCCATGTTTGGTTTCAAGGTTCAAGTTCTAGAGAGGCAAAGTGTCAGACTGGATTAGCTTGAGTCACATGCCCGTACTTTACCAGTATGCAGTAAGAAAATAATTCCTCAAAAGGAAGTCAGGGTGTTATTAGGAAAGAAATAGATACTGAGCAACCAAACGACAGCTATTCAGTAATAACCGTATTTTACAGAAGTAACTGAGACTTAATGACGGTAAGTGACTTCCCGGGATTACGTAATTAGTGTGGGTGGTAATCAAGCCCAAGTTTATGTGTTGCCAGAACCTAACATCTTACCTCTCATACTATACCACTTTTAATCTAAGGAAGGGGTATTTCTCACGCAGAAGAGACCCCTGGTTAGAGACATTGTGGTGTAGTAGAAAGGACATGGAACCTGAGAAACCTGGAGTTGAATCTATGAGCTACCTTTTGTTTGGTGACCTAAAACACATCACTTATTTCCACATCTGAGAAGGAAGACAATGATAATGTACACTTCACAGTGGTTGGCAAACTGAAGGAGTTCAAATATATATAAGGCCAACCAATTCCGTGCCCTATACATAGTAAATATTAGTCTTTTTCCCTAAAAAATTTTAACTCCCTGGTTGGGTAGTTGGGGGCTCTGACAACTGAGTGAGCCTTCCTATTGATTTTTTCTCTGCCCCTGAGTAAGTTGTTAGGGTTATGAGGGCACTGAGGAGAAAGGATCCAACTAGGTAGGCCAAAGATACTGTGTCCTTTGACAGTGAAATTTGCCTTCTTGGAGATCATTTCTTCCACACCCACCTCTCGGCCAGGAGCCTCTGCGATACGGAGGCTTTAAGGAGGACCATGTGTACTGAGCATGGTTCTGTGCATCCAGAAGTCCTAAGTTTGATACTGGTCACATGAATGGTTAGAAAATTTTAGGGGAAAGTCCCTGAATGCAGAGAATTTAGTCTCAACTCTTCCTAAGGTAGTCTTAAGAGCAGAATTTTGGGGAAACGTCTTTCTTTATTTGGCCTGTAATTTGTGCTTGGAAAGGCAAGTTCCATTGTTGGCAGACCCAGGCCTGCCAGTGGTCTGCCTATTCTGGGTGTGCAGTTTCGGTCCCAGTGTTTTCTGTCACTACCTGTGAACTTTATTACATCTATAAGTTTTAGAGCCAGGGAAGACTGGGGACCTGTCCTGGCTCTGCCTCATCATAGCCCTTGTCTTTGTTTTAACAACCAGAAAAAAACCCTTACCCCCTGTCTCATTTCTTTCTTTCTTTTTTTTTTTTTAAGAATATTGAAAATTTTTTTTTTTTTTTTTTTTCCCCGCTGTGTCACACGACTTGCAGGATCCTAGCTCCCCGACCAGGGATTGAACCTGGGTCATGGCTGTGAAAGCACCGAGTCCCAACCACTGGACCACCAGGGAATTCCCTGTGTCATTTCTTTTTATGATTTGAATTTTATTTTAGTTATTATTTTTTTTTATATAGCAGGTCTGTGTCTTATTTCTTTATCATTAAATGGAGTTGATAATAATAGCTAACATGTATCACTATGTGCATCATAATATCCTAAGCAGTTAATAAAAACTATCTCATTTGGTCCTCTCTACCTTTTTCTTTTTTAATTGAGATAAAATTCACATAACATAAAATTTACCATTGTAATCATTTTAAAATGCACAGTTCAGTGGTTATTAGAATATTCACAGTGCTGTATGAGCATTATCACTATTTAATTCCAGAAAATTTCCATTACCCCAAAAGAATCTCATACGTGTTAGTAGTCACTCCCAATTCCCCTCTCTCCCACTAAGCTACTTTCTGTTTCTGTGGATTTCCCTATTCTGGACATTTCATATAAATGGAATCATATTATATGTGCCTTTTGTGATTGGTTTCTTTGACTTTGCATAATGTTTTCAAGGTTCACGCATGTTATAGTACATATCAGTACTTCATATAGTGATAGGACACAATATTACTTCCCAAAGCAGCCCATTTCATTTAAGACAGCTCCAAGTATTAGAAGTTTTCCCTCATTTTGAATGTCACTCTAGTAGCTTATCCTGATTCTATTTTGGACTTCTGAAGGGATTCCTATCATGTATTTGAAGATTTTTTTTTTTTTTTTGATTTTTGGCTGCATTGGGTCTTTGTTGCTGCATGCGGGCTTTCTCTAGTTGCAGCCAGAGGGGGCTACTCTTTGTTGCAGTGCGTGGGCTTCTCACTGCGGTGGCTTCTCTTGTTGTGGAGCACAGGTGCTCGGGCTTCAGTAGTTGTGGCACAAGGGCTCAGTAGTTGTGGCTCGCGAGCTCTAGAGTGCAGGCTCAGTAGTTGTGGTGCACAGGCTTAGTTGCTCCACAGCATGTGGGATCTTCCTGGACCAGGGCTCAAACCCGTGTCCCCTGCATCAGCAGGCGGATTCTTAACCACTGCGCCACCAGGGAAGTCCCTGAAGATCATTTTCACTCATGTTTCTTTCCCAGCTCTAAAAGTTATTTGTTAGACTTGCTAGATCTGATTTTCAAGAAAAACTAGAAATTTGGATTTTATATACTGCCAGTTGTTTAATGTTTGCTTAGGTTTGTGTCAGTCCCTGTAAAACATATGCTGCAAGCCAAATTCTGCCCATCACCTGCCAGTTGCAGCTGCTGGTTAGCTTCTATTAATACAGATTAAAAGGCATATTAGGATTATTGAGATATAATTCATATACCAAACTATTCACTCATTTAAAGTGTACGATTCGGGGGTTTTTAGTATATACAAGAGTTGTACAATCATCAACACAATCAATATTAGAACGTCTTTCTCACCCCAGAAAAGAAATCCTGTGCCCATTAAGCCATTTCCCCACAATCAGCTTATCCTTTCTAGCTCTAAGCAACCATTAGTCCATGTTCTGTCTCTATCACCTTGTCTATTCTGGACACTTCATAAAGTGGAATTATACAACATATAATCTTTAATGACTGGCTTCTTTCACTTAGCATAATATTTTCAAGCCTCATACGTGTTGTAGCATGTTGTCAGTACTTCCTTTTATTGTCAAATACTATTTCATTATACGCATATACCACATTTTATTTATCCATTTACCACTTTTTGGCTAATATGAATAATTCTTCTATGAACATTCATGTACAGGTTTTTGTGTGGACATATGTTTTCAATTTCTTGGATGTATACCTAGGAGAGGAATTGCTAGGTCATATGGTAACTGTTTAACTTTTTGAGGAACTGCCCATCTGTTTTACACAGAGACTACACCATTCCTACCAGCAATGTATGAGGTTTCTAATTTCTCCACATCCTTACCAACACTTGCTATTTTCTTTTTGTTTGTTACAGCTATCCTGCTGGGTGTGAATTGGTATCTCATTGTGGTTTTGATTTGCATTTCCCTAATGAATAATGTCATTGAGCATCTTTTCATGTACTTATCCACCATTTTGTTTATCTTCTTTAGAGAAATGTTTATTTAAATCTTCTGTCAATTTTTAAATTGGACGATTTGTCTTTTTATTATTGAATTGTAAGTTCATTATATAGTTGGATGATGGACTCTTATCATATATGAGATTTGCAAGTATTTTCTCCTATTCTGTGAGTTCTCTTTTTTTTTTTTTTTTTTGTGAGTTCTCTTTTTATTTTCTTTGAAACACAGAAGTTTTTCATTTTGATGAAGTCCAATTTATCTGTTATTTTCTTTCATTGCTTGTGCTTTTGGTGTCATAGGTAAGAAGCCATTGTCTCATTCATGGTCCTGAAATTTTATACCTTTTTCCTTCCAAGAGTTTTATAGTTTTAATTCTTAAATTTAGGCCTATGATCCATTTTGCGTTAATTTTTTTTTTTTAATTAATTTATTTTTTTTGCGGTATGCGGGCCTCTCACTGTTGTGGCCTCTCCCGTTACGGAGCACAGACTCCGGACACGCAGGCTCAGTGGCCATGGCTCATGGGCCCAGCCGCTCTGCGGCATGTGGGATCCTCCCAGACCGGGGCACGAACTCGTGTCCCCTGCATCAGCAGGCGGACTCTCAACCACTGCGCCACCAGGGAAGCCCGCATTTTGTGTTAATTTTTGTATATGGAATGAGGTGGGGGGTTCATATTCGTTTGCATGTGGATATCCAGTTGTCTCAGCACCATTTATTGAAAAAGACTGTTCTTCCCCCATTGAATGATCTTGGCATCCTGGTTGGAAATCAATTGACTATAGAGGTATAGATCTATTCCCCTTTGAAGTAGGTATTACTTAAAGTGATTAATATAATTTTTGGCGTATAGCAGCTACTCAATAATAAATAATAGCTGACTGGACTATTTTGGCATCAATAAGAGCTAGTAAGTGGTGGGGCTAGGATTTGATCCCAGGTATGGGTGACCCCAAATCATGTCTGTAATACTGCAGGCTGCTAAAGTGGAAATGAGGCTGTTCTAGCTGCTATGCCTGGCCATATGTAGTTCTCCAGAGGCTCAAAGGCTGAGGCCCTACATGCCCTTCCCCCACCATCAGCCTCCCTTGCTCCTCCCCCCATCTCCCTCCAGGGTTTCCAGGGTACTCTTATAGATGACACTTGCTGCTAAGGGAACTCTCTCACCCTTCCTTACCTAGGGATATGACAGTATTCAGATAGCCTTAGGGTTTGTCCACTCTTGCTTTCTCTCCCACCACTTCCCCCTCCTGTCCCAGGCTAAGAATGTCGGTGAAGATGCATCAGCAACTGCTAGGGCTTTCTGGCCACCAAGGATGAAGCAGACTCAGACTGTGTTTTTTTTCAGGAACAGCAGCCTGAGAGTTAGGACCCATAAGGCTTCTTGCCTATATGTATGCAGAGTGCTCCCGAACCAAGTGAACTAGGGGGATAAAGGTAGTGATGGTGGATATTTTGCTCAGATATTTGAAGCTTAAATAATCCCTCCCTGGCCTCAAACCTCTGCGGCTGTATGTCGCCCAAAGATCATTTGAGTTAGAATTCATAAGGCAGCACGTGAGCTCCCTTTTTCTTGCTGTGTTCTCGTGCTTTGTGTGAGCCTATACAGGCTGCTGTTAGCTGGCAGAGTTACTATTAAGTAGTCATTTTAATTTTCCCTCATTTTATTACTTTTCTGTCTATTCCCATTAATTGGTCTTGACCCCATTTTTTTAAAAGGAGAAAGTGATGTAGAGAAAATAGGCAGCTTTGCCTGGCTAAGGGAGAAGAAAATTTAATTTGCATGTCTACTGTGTCTTTGTTTTTGTAAATGAGGCAGCTGTTACTAGGAGAGGTGAAGTAATTTACCACAGTTGTATTGCAAGTTGTGGAGGAGGTCCACATCAGCATTTTTGTATACCAAAGCCCATTCTTTATGCTGAAAGCATGCTGCTTCTATAAGATGAACACCATATTTCATTGACACTGAGGCCATGTATTATAAGATGCATCATTAAATACTGCGAAGAAATAAAAAATACTGCCAGTTAAACTGACACAGTGTTTTGTTTTCATATAAGTGTAAGATGCGTCCTGATTTCAGAAATGTTAAAATCTGAAAAAAGGTTACTTAGCTATTATTGCATTTTTGTCAATTCTAACATTCTTTACTGTGTACCATGCACTGTCTGCTCCACCTGTAAAGTAGCTATTATTATCCCACTTTTACACAGTTTAACACATTTTTACATAGTGTAACTAGCTTTGGAACCTTAGATGGGTTATCCCCTCCAAGTCTCAGTTTCATCATCTATAAAATGGGAGGATAATATCATTTATTTTATAACATTGTTGTGAAGATTGGGTGAATTAATGCATGTAAAACATTCAACATGACATGTAATAAGCACTCAGTCAGTACATGTTAGCTATAAACAGAGGCTAGGAGAGTAAGTTACTGCCGATTTTGAAAAGCTAAATTTTAGTCAAGGGATTTGGACACTATTCTAAAGTTTAGGGAGCTATTTTAAGGCCTTAAGTAGGGGAGTGACTTGAACACACTCGTGTTTGCCCTTGTGCTGGCGAATTGGGGAAGTAAGGGAAGCAGAAGGGAATCATCTTCCATAAAGTGCACCACCCTTTGTGGGAGAGCAAAGGAGGTGTTCTCCCCTCCCCATGCCTGACTTCTGCTCCGTCTTACCTAAAAGCCATATGGTTCTTACCTTTTTCAGAAAGAATAACCTTCTCTCCTCTTAGATATTTGGGCTCTTTGAGGGTGGGGTGTTAGGCCTTCACCATATCTTGAGGGCATCATCCTGTATCCTATCCCTTTCACCCACCCTGTGAATTAGAGACTAAAACTCTGTGAGTCTCCACTGATGGAAACTTAAGTCTTAAGGAATTATTAAGCAAGGCTTTGCTTCACCACTTTTAAGTCTTTAATGAATGAAGTCTCTGCCTCCATTTTAAGCTCTTAATTCTGTGCTAACTCTCTGGGGAGTATCATATTGCAGCATCCCATGTAATTCTCACAACTCTGTGAAGTGAGGATTATCCTGGGAAACTGACATGCACAGGTTAGGATGACCACAGGGTCCAAGAACTAGAGTTCAGACCCTAGTCTTTCTGCTACTACTTAGCTGCCTCCTGGTCTTTCCTCTGTACCTACAGTGGCCACCAGAAGATCAGCTTACACTGAAAGTAGTTCCGGGCTTTGATATACAGGATGTGTGGTGCCCCTAGCTTGGTTTCCAGATTCCTGAAGTTAAAAGAAGTGGATCCTTCTTTGCCCTCCCTTTTTCTCTCTCTCTGGACCCTCATGTACCTCCTGCTCTCTGGATTAATTGTCATTGCATGTTTAAAGCTAGCAAGCATCTGATGAATATTTAATAGCCTTGAGCAGACAGGCTGCATACAGTTGTCTGAGACAGCAGCTGCTGGGGGGAAGGGGAGGAAGCACAGTGCACTGCCTAACTGCGCATTCTTTTGTTCCCTGGCCTCAGCCCTTGGGAGCAAAGACCTATGGTGGGCACTGCACCCTAGTCCTATTGTGTCCTGATAGCTCCCCTGGGCTCCCAATGAGGCTGTATTCAAGCAGTAGACCAAACCCTTTTATTTGAGGTAATGAGCAGATATGTTCACTGACCTCTAAAAATCAATTTTCTAACCCCCAGGCTGGAGGTCTTCTGCTTAATAGCCTGTTATGGCTCTGGGGCTGAGGATGTGTTCTCTTCCAGAGAACACTAGCTCTCTCTTCTAAAAGGAGGGAGCCTTGTATCTGAAAGGGATTTGAGTTTCATAACCGTGCTGCTGGAGGTTAGCTTCTTGACATTCCTTGACTACAAATCCAGCAGCTTCTCAGCAGTAGGTGTACTTCTCCCTCCTAGCCTAAGCTGTGCTGGCTGTCTTTGGCTGCATCTCAGGCAGCAGTGGGCAGGTAGGAGTTCTCAGACAGGTACACAAGCTGTCACAGTGCTTCCCCCCACTAGACCAGGGAACTTTTTACTTCAAGGAGGCCTTGTCATTTCCAGGTCAGATTGGGAGAGATTGTGGGGACTCCTGAAGAAAGACAGCGCGTTTGACATGTTTCCAGGCAGAGTGTGAGGTACAGCCAGGCTGTCAGCCCAGATTAATCACCACAGTAGAACACATTGCTGGAAAATTGGGGACTGTTTACATTCTTAATACTGCATCAAGATGCCTGGATTAGCTATTCCCTTGTCAACCTTGGGAGCCTACCTTGGCCCACCTCAGGCTAGCCAGTCTCTTTACCAGGCACATAAGGAATTTGAGATGGAAGAGTTTGGGTTTAGATACAGAGCTAATTTTTCTCTGCTTTCCTCTGGCTCCTGCAGCCTTCGTGCTTCCTACTTACAGCCCAGCTTTAGGTATAAAATGGGGTGCTCCCCATCTCTCAGGCTCTCCAGGGTTGGAATGTAGGAAACAAGTTCTGCATCTGCCTTTGAGAAATAGAAATACCTTGTGCTCTGATATGATTCTTCATAAGCTTCTCTCCAGAGATCAGTATGAATGACCCCTTTCATTTTTTTAAAAAATACATTCATTATTATAAATTGGAATACCTACTATGTGCTAGGCAATGGAGAGTCAGTGGCAAGTGAACAAGGTAAGATTGGTCCCTGACCTCGTGGAGCTTATAGTGTATTTGGGGACACAGACACTAAACATATTAATCTCATAAATAGCATAAATCATCTCAGTTGTGACATATGCTGTGAAAGAAAGGAACGGGTGCTATGAGGGTATACAACAGGAGCTAACCTAGCTCTGGGGTTTTCCTTGAAGAAATGATGTTTAAGCTGACATCTAAAGGCAGAGTTAACTAAGCAGAGAGTTTGGGAGATGGTTTGGGGAAAGGGCATGAAAACACATTCTAGGCAAAGTGTAGGACTGAGGCAGGTTCAAGGTGAGGTGGAAATCTGGGGCTCATGCTGTGGTCATCACTGAAGACCACTGAATTCCAGTAGTGAGGGGTGACACGATTAGATTTCTGCTTTTTAAACTTCACTTGCTGCTGAGTGGAGAATGGGTTATGGGGACCTATGAGGAAAGACATGAATGAGAAAGACCTACACTGGAGAAATGAATGGATTCAAGAACTTCAGAGATAGAATGATTGATTAGATGTGGGAGAATAGGGACGTACCAGTGAGGGCCCCCAAGTTACTGGCTTGAAAAACTGGGGCATTTTTTTTTTTAAGATGAAGAGCACAGCTACAGGCTTTGGCATAAGATTAGGGCTCTGACCTGTGCCCCAGGCTTAGGATGTGTCTCTCCTGTGGATAACGCCGAGAACTGGGGGCTAGGAAGAACCCCTCATAAGGCCAGAAGAGGTGGACCCCGGAGCCTAGGATTGAGGTACTAATAATAGCTACGAGAAGATTCCTGTTCCCCATTCCCTTTTTTTCAAAAGATTTAAAGCTCTTTGTCAATCGTTATCTTTTTCACATCTCTGAGAGAGCAGAGATTATTTTCCCCTTAATATAGCTGGAGGCCCCAAAGCTTGTATAGTTAAAGGCCCCAAAGGTCTAGTTGATTCTGCCCCAGATCACTCAGCTCAGGCATGGCCAAGGATGGGAGGTGTGAGGTGTGAGTCTCCATTTTCATTGCCTGACGGATAGCAAAAGGAGCTCATAGGCTGTGGACTTCTGTTTTCTACCCACCTGTGTACCTAAAAACCTTGTCCTGAATGCAGCAACGGGGGTTGTGCTGTGGGGTGGGGAGGTTGTGAGGGAGGCAGACCAGCCAAATGGGAGGCTGGGAAGCCCCCGATACAGCAACTTCATGCTTCTTAATTTTCTGCCTATGTCTTTGCAGCATCAGAGGACTCCCGGAAACCAGGAGAGCCGCCTGCTGTGTCAAGGCTGGCCTGAGGGCATTTGCTGAGCACAGAGAGACCCAGGAGAGGAGATCGACAGTCTTTTCCCACCCACCTCTTGATCTGTCTGATTTACCCACAGAAAGCCACCCAGAATCCTCTAAGAGTCCCTAGGCCCAGAATGGAGTCCTTAGGGCTACAGGGGGCTGTGATGCTAACAGTTAAACCTGCTTAGGACTTTAAAGAATTGAAAGGGACTAACAGTATCCTCAGCATGGCCTCCTAGACGTGAATAAACTGGCAGCTCTTACCGTGTCATTCCCAGTTTGCCTGCTTCCCCTTAGTCTCCAGCAGCACTGGCTGGAACACCCTACCACCACCTATTTCCCACCCTACCACACGTGTGTTGTGGATGCCAGCCTTGAACACTTGCAGAGGGCTCCCAGAGAGTGGCTGGTCACCAACTCTGTAACAGGCTGAGGAAAGTCAAGTTAGAAGGTTCGGGTACTTTAGGCAAGTTATTTAACCTCGGAGCCTGTTTTTCTCTTCATTTTTGATTACTAACGTCCAAAGATCTCCTGAAGGATAGGGTAGGGCTTTTCCCACTTCACTCTGGACTATATCCCTTCCCCAGCAAACATCTGGCACTGAGGAGCTCAATAAAGGTTCAGTCAAGTGATGAATAGTCCCACTCCGGTAGCTTTTATCAGCTTTGGGAGAGAGCCAAAGGAGGTCCCCTGTCTAACTCCCACTCTCTATCCAGCTATATTGGGCTAGCCATTTATCCTAACATTTTCTCTTAAAGGATTGGAAAGTCAGCCTTTCCTAGACTTCTGGTTTCCTGTGGCCAATGCCATAGGCTGGTTTTACACTGAGCACCCGGAGAGGTTAGGGACCTCTCTAATACTACACTCTTCCTTCAATGCCCTCTGGTTATTTATCCCAACAAGGGAATCAGGGGAAGGGCTGAGTTTGGAGAGACCTATCCAGACTGTGCCTGAGGCATTCTAATGAGCTTTGGATTCTGTTCTTAGCAGTAAAGGGACCTTGAAATCGGTTGATTTACTTTGGGCAAGTTGTTTAACCTCTAAGCCCATTTTTATCTTCATTATTGATTAAAATATATAATAGCTAATAATTTATTGAATGCTTAGTTGTACCAGGCACTATGTCAAGCATTTATATGTACTATTTGACTTAATCCTCCAATCCACTATACTCATTTTACAGATGCGGAAACAGAGGCTCAAAGAGGATAAATAACTTGCCTAAGGTTAAAGAAAGGTGCTATCAGACTCTATAGCCCCTGCTTTTGACCTGTTTGTACCTCTTAGAGCCAGCAAGTACTTTGAAACAGTAAAGCATTGTGTTTGAGAGATTTATTTAGGGTGACAAACGATCCAGGTTTTACATGACTGAGAAGATTCCTGGGGTATTGAACTTCAGTCCTAAAACCAGGAAAGTCCCAGGCAAACTGAGATGAGTTTGTCAGTCTGTCTGCACTGAGACTCAGTCCAGAGTTGGCCATTGAGGCTTCATTTTCCCTGACTTCTTAGTCACCTACGCCTCATCTTGTGGCCAGTTTCTTTAGCATTTGAGGACCTGCTTCAGTCCAGCAGGCAGGAGAGGAATTTAGGACAGGGGGCAGTTAGGGAATCAGATGGCGTCCTGGTCATGGAAAAATGGAGGTGCAGAACCTGGGTCACTATTTGAGAAGCCAGCGCTAGATTCTAGGCAGCCTTACCTTCAACCCCCAGATGCAGGATACCTACTTGGGAGCCATGGAATTACAGGGAAGTCCACAAGGGCCAAAGCCAAACATCTAGATTCAAATCCTAGCTCCTCACTTATGTGTATTTTTCTGGGCCTGTTTACTCTGTAAAAGTAGGATAATCGTCCCAATCCACTGAATGGCATCTGAGAAGCAACTGAAATGTGTGTGAAATACTTCACACAGAGTCTATCCAAATACTGTTCAACACTTAGGTGTCCTTCCTCCTCTTTTCCGGCTTGTGTTTCTTACCCAGCCCTGTCACCTGTCGAGTCTTATCACATACTCCCTCCTTCCATTACCACTTGCAGCCCTAGGGATTTTCCTTTGAGAGCCCTGACCCTAGTGGGCCTGGCCCACCCACCCAGCTGCCCTGCATGTCAGTCACCTCGCCTGCAAGCGGAGAAGGGATGACATCAGCTTTTCCCCCTCCCCCATCCAAAGCCTCTGGACTGTTTTGAGCCATAAATATTTTAGCTGGGCCTTTCTCTGGCTGTTGCCGGGGTGATGGACTCTCAGGGGACTGGGGTGGGAGTGTGGAGGCGGGGCTCGGCAGCCTGGGGCCTAGAAGCAGAGCTGGCCCTTGAGGGGCGGGTTTGAAGTCTGGCCAAGAGCCAGTGCTTGCAGCAGCGATTCTGAAGGCTGTTGCTCTGTCTGCCTGCCTTCCCTTTCCTGGGCCCCGCAGAGCCGTTCTTACTGCTTTCCAGGCCCAGCTTTGCCCTCGAGTACCACTTGATCTTGGGTTAATTGCTAAATACCTCTGGGCCTTGATTTTAACATCTGTAACAGAAAAGTCCCTGTTTAAATCACTGTAAGTGGGGAAGGTAAGTCAAAGGAGGTTTTGTAAAAATCCGATGAAACAAGTTTGGTTAGTAAGTCATGATTGGAGCAGCTAGGTCCCACAGCCCTTTCTGATAGACCTGCATGCTGGGGTCCCAGGGCAATGTAGATGCCACTCTAAAGGCTGATAGATGTGGCACTGCCTCCCATTCTCCCCGCCCCCCATTCCTCATGCTGTAGCCCCAGCTCCTTTTCTGAAGTTCCCTGGCCTGGCCGACGGTGTTCTAAGGAGTTTGGCCCTTATGAGTAGAGTTGATGAAAGCCTTTTTTGATTAAGATACAGAAACTCAGGCCCCCAAACTGGATCTGGCCCTCACTCTCTTCTACCACAGCCCCCCACCTCCATCCTAGAGCTCTTCAATCTGAATAGCTGCTAAACTCTAGCTTGCAGCAGCATGCCCACTCCTCTCCTTGGGATGGGTCTAAGAAACAAAAGAGGGCCAGAGAGGGGGCGCCTGGATCCACTCCCTACCCCTACCATCGAGAAGCTCTGGATTGGGTCCAGAATTCCACATCCCCTGCCTAGCCCTGCCCACCAGTTTTCCTGTGGAGCTGGGAGCTGGGCTTCCTTTGTGTCGAGCTCCCTCTGGTGGCTTAGCTGTGCATTGCATAAAATAATACCTCAAGCGAGACTAAATTGCAGGCCGCCCTGAGAGATGGGATTGTTCTATACCAAGAAGAATCCTTGACCCCAACTCCTGATGACAGCCATTCCATTTCCTATATAGGATTACTCTGCCATATGTTTGCTTCTCTAGGTCATTAATCCTCACAACAATTCAATGACATGAGAATTACCCTAATTTTACAGATGAAACAGGATTAGAGAGGTGAAATCAAATCCAAACTCTTCACTGTATGTAGCCTGTAGTGTTCAGGATCCTCAAGTGATAGGAACTTAGCCTGTTTTTCCAGCCCCATATTCCATTCTCCCAAGCCAAAATGACTTACTCTTCTGGAACATAGCTTGCCTCTGGACCTTTGCTCATGCTGTTTTCTCTATCTTCATTGCCCCCACCCCCACACAGTACATTACATACCAAAATCCACACATTTTTGAAAAACTAAAGAAATGCAGGATTTTCTCAAGCTTGCATATATTATCTTTGTAATAACCAAATATTATAAGACATGGATGAGAACAAATGTCTGGATGAGAACAGGTGGGTGAGTGTCCCTGAGATGTGGAAGGTTGGATGGGGAGACTAACACGTACGTGGAAGTGAGAATTGCCCAGGAAATTAAAAGAACATGAAGACATCTGGGTTCTCTGGTAGGTTTTTGTAGTGAAAATTCGATGTTGTAAGTATTCTTGCTGGCAAAAGAGCAAATCTCTGGGAAGCTGAGGCAGAGATTCAGGTGACATTTCTTCAAAAGTCACCGATCTTAAATTCACATTAGTTTTCTTGTTACTTAATATATCCATGTTTTAATAACAATAACAGGTGATAACAGGTGATACTTAAATAGCACTTCCCAGGCACCGGGTATGTTCTAAGTACTTTACACAGACTAACTTAATCTTCATCATAATCTCATAAGATAGATACTAATACTACCCTCACTGTTTTTTTTCAATTGAGGTATAGTTGGTTTACAATATTAGTTTCAGGTGTACAGCATAGTGGTTCGAAATTTTTATAGACTATACTCCATTTAAAGTTATTATAACTTTATATTGGCTATATTCCCCGTTCTGTACAATATATCCTTGTAGCTTATTTTATACATAGTAGTTTGTACCTCTTCATCCCCTACCCTTATCTTGCCACTTTCCTCTTCCCTCTCCCCACTGGTAACCACTAGCTTGTTCTCTACACCTGTGAGTTATACTATCCTCACTTTACACTGGGGAAACTAAGGCATAGAGAGGTTAAGTAATTTCCTAAGGTCGTGCACCTAGTAAGTGGTAAAGCCAGGATTTGATTCCATATAAATCTGGCTCAGAGAAGGTGCTGTGGATAACTACACTTTTAATATTGAAAATATTGCCTTACATTGCCATGAATAAAACTGACACTCCAGGAAGCAGTATTGTGTTTTATCCTGCGGTTTCAGGACCCCCGCTGTGTACCACCAGAGGTCTGCATAATCCAGGGTGAAAACTGATCAGACTTGCCAGGCTTGGCCCCAGAATAACAGGACCAAGGAAGAGATCCCAATTCCTGATATCCAATGACACATGATTGGCCTAGAGCCAGTGGCATTTCCTCAAAAACTCAAGACTCCTGGAAGAGCCAATAGAGAGCAAGTTAATCAGGAAAGGAAGACATACAGGAGGGAAGTGAGGGCTTCGAGGTCACAAAACAGCTGAGATGTGGGGCCACAGATCTAGAGGACAAGAACCTAACCAACATCCTGCCATCTTATGATTATTTTCCCAGGGAGCCTGTAGGCGGCAGATGTAAAAGGATTAAGGCCCTAGACGTTTCTGGTAGATACTGAGAAGTGTATATTGTTCTAGATTCTTGCAGTAGCAGTTGTCAGACACTAAACACAAACTGGCTTTTTGTTAACAGCAAAGTCCATAAAGGCTTCAGGTATAACTAGATCAAATGATGCCATCAAGAAAGTGTCTCCTGACTTCTTTTAAATACATTTATTTATTTATTTTTAGTTGTGTTGGGTCTTCATTTCTGTGCGAGGGCTTTCTCTAGTTGCGGCGAGCGGGGACCACTCTTCATCGCGGTGCACGGGCCTCTCACTATCGCGGCCTCTCTTGTTGCGGAGCACAGGTTCCAGATGCGCAGGCTCAGTAGTTGTGGCTCACGGGTCCAGTTGCTCCGCGGCATGTGGGATCTTCCCAGACCAGGGCTCGAACCCGTGTCCCCTGCATTGGCAGGCAGATTCTCAACCACTGCGCCACCAGGGAAGCCCCCTGACTTCTTGACTTTTCTATGTTTCTTTCATTGTCAGCCAGTTCCCCCCAAAAGGTGGCAAGATAACCACCAAGAACTTCAAGTTTATATTTTATTTCCTTAGCCATCCCAGAGGGGGGAATATTTATTTCCAAGTAGTTCTAGCAAAGATCCCAGGATTGCATCTCATTTGGCCTAATTTGGGTCACT